CCCTGTGAGCAAGTCTGCTCTAGAGCCCGCATGCCCACTCTGACCTCCTGATCCCCGGCCACCAGCCTTGCCCGCCCGCCACTCCCCGGCTCTGCCCCATACCCCGCTACCTGACAACCTGGCTCTTGGATCATCAATGCAGCTCAGACCTCGGCCCCCTAGACTCTGCTCATTGCTCCCTCAGCTCCCTTCCTGGAGGCCCCCCGAAGCTGGGCAGCCCCCGGGGGGCCCTCCCCGCCAAGAGTGGGACACAGACAACGGGGTCCCATCAGGGAGAGAGGGAGGTATTCAATACTCTGCAATGGTCACCTCACCGTGACCACTTCCATAGAAATAAATTCCATCCTCCACTCCATTCCGGAGATGGGTTCACAGCCGTAGGAGATACACAAGACCAACCGGCAACCTCAAGGCAGCAAACAACGAACAGGCTTGTCGTCTGGGGAGATGACACTAGCCTCATCGTTACCATTTTACTAAATAAGTCATTTTAAATTAATTACGTTGCACTCTGGAAAGCATTAGCTCTGGTTGACTCTTCCGTTCCTGCTGATTATCGCGTTGGCAGAGATCATTAGTCCAGCAGATCAAGTGATGCGTGTGCACTGGGTGAAGACACGCTCACCATCCCCGGCCATGGCAGGTGCCCAGGAGGCCAAGGGCATCGGGGACAGAGGCCGCAGCTGGGCAGCTCGGCCTCCATCCCCGTGACGTCTCTCAGGACGTGGCTGAGAAGGGCCTCCTCCCTGGTCAGCTTCATCCTCTGCCCTTTGGTTCCCTGGGAAATCTGTTCATTAACACGTCAACTGCTTTCCTCTCAATTCAAGAGAGTCTCAAAGAACCTCCAGAAACCGTGCCCTCAGCAGAGGGGACAGGGGAGGGGACCTCTGGGGCCGGGGGGGACCTCTGGGGCCACGCGTGGGGGATCAAGCTAGTAAGAACCATCCCAGCAGCATGGGGTGTGAGCCGTGGACATGAGCAGACAGCCACAGGCTTGCGTTCTGCCATGGCCACTGTGATGGGTTGGACTTGTGTGTCCTCCAAACCCCTGTGTGGGAGCCTGAGCCCTGAGTCCAGTGTGATGGTCTCAGGAGGGGGCGCATGCGGGAGGTGACCAAGCCCTGAGCAAGGGTGGAGCCCCCAAGGTGGAATCAGAGCCCAGGAGAGCACGCAGGGAGGCTGTCTGCAGGCAGGAAGGGGGCTCAGCCCAGAACCCGGCCCCTGCACCAGACCTCGGATGTCGGGCCCCCTGCACAGACCTCGGATGTTGGGCCCCCTGCACAGACCTCGGACGGACGGCCGCCTGCACCGGACCCCGGACGTCGGGCCCCTGCACCCCTCAGGGTCTGTTGTTTACGGGCTGTCCGCAGTGATTGGTGCAGCTGGAGCCGAGACTGCCCTCTCCTCTCTGAGCCTCACTGTCCTCAGCAGCGCAGGGGAGCGAGGCACCCGCTGGCGGGACCCCTTGGCACAGTCATGTGCAGCGTGAATAGCCAGACGGCAACGGAGCATTTGCCACGTGCTGGTCTGAACACATGGGCCAGCTCATTTCATGCCGATCACAACCCTGTGAGGTCAGTCCGATGATTATCCCCATTTTCAAGGAAGAACATTTAGGGACAGAAAGGAGAGCAATAACCGGGTGGCCCAAGGCCACACAGCCGCGAGACACAGAGCAGGAAGGATCGAATGAAGTGACACGTGATGTGTTTCACAGAAATCCTGGCGTTTGGAAAAACTCAGCGCCATGAGCTGTTATTGCTGTTAATTTCGTGCCGTCGTGGGCTGGAGAGGGAAGGCCAAACAGGGGTGAGGACGTGGAAACACTCCCCGCTCTGGAAGGGACCCTAGCATGCGGGCTCCCCAGCCCTGCCTGCCACCCTGGGCCTGGGGTGACCACCGCTGATTCAGGAGCTGCTTCCAGGCACCTTCGTTCCCCAAACACAGACCGCTGGGGTCCGCGAGCTGGAAAGGAAGTGGCCCCTCACCCGCTCCCTCCCGTTGCTGACAAGGAAACAGGCCTGCAGGAGTCCACGACGGGGGGGGGGGGACATTTCCATCTGAACCGAACCCCCGCCTGGTCGCTCGTGCTCGCACACGTTCTCACCTCCCCTGGCTTTATTTCTCTTCGCCCGACGCACTGGGGATAGCGTCTCACTCACTCGTTTGCGTCTGCTTCCCTCAACCAGGCTGCAAACCCACAAAGACGGATTTCGTCGGTGTTGTCCGCCGCCGCGCCTTCAGAGCTAGAAAGTGCCTGACACTTTGCGGCCAATCAGAAGTTGGTGTTGACTGAGCGAGTCTCTGGGCCACGGGCTGAGCCCCTTGTGAGCCCGCGTCCGCTGTGCGAGCCATCCTGGGGTCCACATCGGGCTCTGCCGACAAGGCACTGGCAACAGCGGACCCCACTTGGCAGCTACTCCCGAACTTGTGGGCGTCGCTGGGGCACGGGCCCCCTCCCAAGGCTGAGTTTTAGTCCCACGGGCTCTCTCCTCCAGGTCTCCAAGCTTTAACACCTCCGATCCTCTCGTCCCGTTGCTCATGCGGCCAAACCTACACGTAGCAGCCACGGCACCTGACCCATTTGAGAGCTCTGGTCATGCATTTAATTCCTGGTTATGACCTTACACAGGTTAACAGTTTGTTAACTGTTAACCACTGCTGTGGTTCCTGTCTCTGCTGGACCGAGATCCGACCTAGCTCAGGATAACCACCCACAGCCTTCCACCGGCAAGCCTGGCACCCTCGCGGCTCCCTGTCCCTGTCTCCGTCTTTGCCTTTTGCTCATGGCAAAGCCGCCTGCTCTGCCGCGGTCTCTCTCCTGAGACGGTAGGAACGCCCCCAAGGACAGAGGTCATATCTCACGCGTGTGTGTAGCCGGACAACAGCGTAGGTGCTCAGTTATGCTCGACGAGCCTCACAGACGTTTGGTGACCCAGATATTCCAACGTGGTATGAAAGCCACTGTTTCCACATGCTATCCCACCTCATATAAATACCAAAGAAGACACAAAAAGGTAAAAAGTCCATGTGTCCATAAAAACACAACAAAACAGAGAGGAAGAAGCTAGGGTCCATGCTTTAATCCCCACAGTGCAAACGGGGACCTGGAGACGTGACACGTGACGGGTGCCTGTGAGTGCCCCCACCATGGGGTCGGGCTGTGACTATGTCTGCGTGCTATTATTTACATTTCCGTTGGTGTTGGCATGGGTGGGAGGGGTCCCAAGGACACCGTTCCTGCCTGGGCTCAGTTGCGAGCCTGCCGAGCCCCCCAGACGGCAGGCAGCCCCGAGACCAGCAGTGCCTGCCCATCAGGAGCCCCTTCTCGGTCTCCCTCCCCCTCGTCCCCCCGTCCCTCCCCCCATTTCTAGGGGAGCATCAATCAGAATCACGTATACCATAGACAGCAGCCCTGTGTAACCAGGACAGCGTTGTTGTGGGATTCAGGAATTAACTAGTGGTGGGTGTTTCACAGATGGAGGTGGAAGTGGGAAGCCCTCGTGAGCTTCTTCAGACGAGTCTCCGGGGTGCTTTTCTGCTCCAGGGTGGCACTTTTGGCCTCACCCGGGAACGATCCCCTTCAAGGACCCTCCCCGGGGCCCCTTCTTCTCTCTGGGTAGTGAGGACACGGCCGCCCAACGGGCTCCGCGGGTCCTTCCAGCCCAGGAACAGAGGGAGAAGATGCTACCCAACAACCTGAACCTCGGGAGGCCCAGGATGGCGCCCCGTCCGGAGATGAGTCTGAAAGCTCTCCCTCGGACACAGAAAGGAGAAGTAGCTGCGGCAGGATCACGGCAGGGAAGGTGGGAGAAAGCAGAGGAGGTGTCCTTCGGGGCTGCCGTAACAGAACCTTCCAGAAGAGGACGGACCTCTTTTTCCTGGGCTCTCGCCTTCTCTCATGCCATTTCCTGCATCCAGGGCATCTTTCCCTCTCGTTAGCCGGTGCCCGCACAATGCCCAGGATGCAGCTGATGCTCAGTAAGTGTTTACTGGACCGGGGTCGAATGCCTGCCCCGCACGAAGCCTGCTCCCCCTCCGGCGGCAGCACAAGCCGCTCCCTCCGCTCTCGGCCTGTCCTTCTGCCCCACGAGGACCCGCGCCAGCAGAGGGGGACACATGATGGGGTCTGGGTCCTTGTGAGAGCCCCAGAGAGCTTGCCTGCCCCCCTCCCCACCGCACTCCGCTCTCCGCCAGGCGCACACTCGCAGGGCAAGGAGCACGACCCAGGGGCCTGTCCCCAGAGCCCGGCTGCCCGAACACGGATCTCGGCTGCCCAGCCTCCGGGTCTGTGGGAACAAGCCCTCAGCAGGCCGAGCACCTCACCCTCCCATCCCAAGGCCGCCTGGGAGACCCAGCTCTGCCCCATCTGCCCCTTAGGACACGTGGCTTGGTACCCACTTTCTCACCAGCCACGAAGACCCTTGTGTCCGGCAGGGAGAGAAACCAGCCGGAACTGTGTTTCCCTCTTTGTGGGGCAGGAATTCCCTCAGCAAGGATCTGCCTCCCACTCGGCAGACGTTGACTTCTTGGGCCTCGAGTGCAGAAGGGAAGCCCCCTCCTCCTTCCTCAAAAGGGCAGAAAGCAGCCCACCCGCGCCCCTCCTCGGAGGGCTGGAGATGCTCCTTCCCGCGCTGCCCCAAGAGATCCGGCCGCGTCTCCACCCCAGGAGCTCTGGGCCCATCTTTTCCCAAAACCTCTCTCTTAAAGCATGAGAAGCAGGGCCCTCCGCACTTTGCACATCGCCAGAGAAAAGCAAGAACCATTTGGACCAGACTTTATTTGACTGTGGTCCCTCCGGGGGGCTCCGGGGTTGGTCTACACGCTGCTGAAAGAGAGGCCGGGCCCCCAGACGGCACAGGTGGGACAGGCCGGGACCTCCAGGGATGCTGACGGGCAGGGAAGACGGGACAACCAGTGAGTGCCATTCAAATCCTCGTTCGCAGAATCGTGAAGAAGGGGAGAAGGTGCGGAGCGTCACCAGGGTTCACACGCCCGGGTCAGACCAACACACAGCACAACCACTGCAAAAGCAGGATGGCAGGGTGAGCTCAGCGCTCCCCCCGGAGCTGGTGCGACGGTGCCCGAGATGCTCTCCCGCCCGGCGTGGTGTGACCTGTGACGCGTCCACGCTCCAGGGGGCGCCTGGGAGCCCTTAACTCAGTCCCAACCCCACGAGCCCGCTAGACAGGTGGCTTAGGAAAGGCCCAGACCCAAGAGGGCAAACAGGTGCGCATGTGTGTACATATGTATGCACTCAGTGTCAGGGTCAGCACTGATGTCCGGGGGCCTCCAGGAAGACCTTCCCGCACCACTGGAAACAGGTCACCGACATTCCCACTGGTTTCTGGTCACCTTCTCTCTGTTAATCTAAGACATCTGCTCCTGGAAGTCAGCCATTAAATCGCACCCACCGCCCACACTTCCATCCAAATTAGCAACGGCTGGTATCCCAACAGGATTTGAAATGTAGCAGTAGCCTTATCTTCAAGATAATAACGGATGTGTGTTGGGAAGACCGCAGGGCAGTCCCATTTCTCCCCGCAGTGCAGCCCCCAGAAGACGCATTGTAGCCGCGTGGAAATAAGACAGGTCACTGTGAACGAGCCCCACTCGGCACCCGTAATGACCCAGAATCCAAGTCCCATCAGCAAGCCATTCACCAGAACCCCAGCCACCTACCTCAGCCAGGGAGAGCCGGACCGTGCCGCTCTGGTCCTTGTCCAGCAGCCCGAACAGTTCTAGAATGCCAAAGAAGGAATGATATGAGACTTCGGAACCGTAGAGAGCTACCCCTGTCCACCGTCCCCCCGTAAGTCCCCCCCCCAACCCCCAGCCCCCACCCAGCTGCAGGGACTCTGGAAAGCTCCATAGAGGTTTGGTGCCCTGTGTGGGTTTGGGGGCAGGCGTCCCCCTGCCCCAGGGGACATTTGCAGCTGTGAGCAGAGGTGGTTGATCACCATCTTCACCCTCTGAGACTCTAGAACTTCATTCTTTCCATGGGAGCGTGCGGTGGGAGGAGGGAGCTGTGGACAGACCGCGGTCGCCCCCTTGGTGGGCCAGCCACTCCCTCAGCTTCCTCTCTAGGGGCCCCGCCTTTTCCCGTTGGGACCACCCCCCACCCCCAGTGAGGAGACCCCTCCCTGAACAGGACAGGCTTCGCACGCGCCCACAGCCCGAGGCGGTGGGAGCACATGCATCCCCTCCTGGGAGCTGATACGGGCTCTGCACATGACCCTGAAACAGACACTAAGACACTTAAGCCCCAGGACTCGCACTGCTTGACGGCTCGCGACAGTCAGACAGCCCACACCAGCACCAACAACAACCAGTGTGGCAGCGTTCTGAGGCTCCATGAAAGGGCGGCCCCTGACCTTGGGCGTGGCCGGCTCGCGCCGCCTCCCCCAGGAGGCCTGCCTGGCTCCGCCGTCCAGTCCTGTGGCAGAACGGGTGGGGCTGAGGAACAGGGCGACTCACTGAAGAGGGTCTCCAGGCGGGTCACACAGGCCACAAAGCCATCGAAGTCGATGCGGAGTCTGCCGTCCGCGTACCGCAGGGTTAGGGTCTGCTGCACCTGGGTGCTGAGCGTGAAACCTGCGGCGGGGGACCTGGGTCACGGTGGTGCGCAGGGCTCGGGGCTGACACGGCCGGGCTCCTCCATGGGATGCGGAGCCTCTGGCCACCCCGTCGCAATCCTCGGGGATTAGCCTGCGCCCTGGTGCTGGATGAGGCCCGTGGCTCCAGCATCAGCTTCACCACCATCCCATTCAGAGTGTTTCAGATGAGCACATCGTGTCCCAGGACCTGCCTTCCCGAGGGCCATCCTCATCTCTTGGGCGTCGATGGTCCCTGAGTGGTTGTGATCAGTTTCCCGGTAGATGTCCTAGAGCGGGACAGAGATTCCAGGTAGAAAACAGCCTTTGGAGGCCCCACCAGAGCGACTCCCTTCGCCCACTGCTCCCTCGGGAGGAAGAGACCTCCCTGACTCCTCCCAGGAAGTTTCCAGAACAAAGGGAAGAGCGGGGCTGAACGGCAGGGCTCTGTGTGAAGGGCTCGGCACAAGCACCCCCTAGTGCCCCCTGAACATCGTGTCCGGGTTTTGTGCTGGGTTTGAACACTCAGACTCCGGTCAGACTAGGGAGGGAGGTGCGGGGCAGGGCGGGGCGAGGGGCTAGAAACAGAACCGACCGACAGGGAACCAGAGCCCAGAGGAGAGAAGACTTACCAGGTACTTCTGAATCTTCAGCCAGAGCGTCCTGAGTTCCGCCGGCCCCAAGGTGCCCGTGCCGCTGCTCTAGGCATGGTCAAGGCCAACACGCCCAAACGCCACAGGCCGGTGCGCCATGTTCTCTTGTGACCACAGCGCACGCCCTACGGCCTCAGTGAACCACCCGTGTGCTCAGTAAGCAGGGCCCCAGGGGTTACCGTGGGAAGGGTGATGGGAAGCCAATTCAAATTAAGATGAAAGGGTCAGGCACCCCCACGGCCCCCCTTTGAGGTCACGAGCCCAAAGACCTTGGAGCAGGGTCATTGATTAGATCCAACACCCTCGTCATCCTGGCTTGCAGCGGGCTGGCCGAGGACAGCTGGAAAGACACCTCCAGATTTAAACTCCGTGAGTGGTCATTGAAAAAACTCGTTGGTGAGAATGTCATATGTTAACAGAGAAGTCATCAGGAGCACGGGACTGGGATGCTCAGCTGCATGGTTTGCACACATTTGTCAGTGTGCCGCAAAGGGGCTCGGAGCTCCCACCGGGACGCGGCTGGCTCAAGGGCCACCACTCAGCCCCAGGGGTTCTGGGGACCTCCATCTGTCCAGCTCGCACTCACTCGACCAGCATTAACGGAACCCTGGGCTAGACGATGGGGACCCTCATGGAGTTAAGGCTCTGAAAGCACCCGTTCTCCAGAATCACAGCTAATGGATAACCACCGGTGTATTAAAGACACACAAGGGTGTGCGGCAGACCGCCAGCCCCACATCGTCCAACGAGCCAAACACCCGAGAGAGTACACCATCCTCTTTAAGTAAGTGTGGTTCTCGTGTCCATGATCCACACCGAGGGTCGGAGACACCACAGCCTCAATCCCTCTCCAGGAACGCAACCGGCGCCCCTCCGCAGAGGGAGCTGGTGCTTGGGTCTCTGCACCCCGCGCCCCACACCCCCCTCCCAGTGACCACAGGAGCTCCAGTTCTTAACCCACTTCCCAACACAAGAAACAGGTTCAGAGCATAGAGGAACTTCTCCAAATTTCTACACCCGGAAAGTGCTGGAGCCAGAACCTGGATTCGTGTCTGCTCCAAACCTTGTCCCATGACACGGGGACCCTCAGTACCTGACAGCATGTCTACGGTGACCCAGGCCCTGTCCCAGACCTGCTGAGTCAGCATCTCCAGCAGTGGGACTCAGGCAACCGTATTTTTTAAAATCCCACGGACAGCAAAGTGCTGATGCTATGGTACTTGAAATATGGGGCCAAGTGGAAAATTCCAACATAAAGGGCCGTGTGATGTATTCTTCCACATAAATGAGCTCGCTGGCATAGGCAGGTCTGTGGAGACAGAAAGTGGACTGGTGTTTTCAGGGCAGAGGTTGGGCCAGTTGAGGAGGAATGGGGAGTGACTGCTAATATGGGTACAGGGTCTTTCTCTGGGGTGATGAAAATGCTCTAACCTGGGTGATGTTCACACAACTGTGAATTTACTAAAACCCATCAGATGGTACCCTGTAAGTGGGTCCATGGTAAGGTGTGTGAGTTGTATCTTGATAAAGCTGTCGTTGTCACCAAAGTCTCCACGGGCAGGTCCGCAGCATGTCCTGGCTCAGAACCACCACCCACACCACCTACACTGTGGGACACACACCCCCGAAGGTGACGGAGCCACGAGAGAAGCAAACACCGTGGGGAACACGGGGGGCTAGCAGCTCCCAAATCAACATCCAAGTCAGTGGTGAGTTTGGGAAGACGATTCAGAGACCAAGGGACTATTTGCAGCAAAGTGAATCAACACTTAACCATTCTTTGTGGCCCACGCATAAGTTGTTAAGCACACTGGGCTCAGAGAAGGACACAGGGCTGAAGAGCCCCAGTGTCTATGGCTCTGGACCACAGGGACAGCGCCCTCTCTCCATCGCTGAGAACCCTGGGGGATCAGCACACACAATGTTTGCAGAACCCCTCTGCATGCAGAACCCCTCATCCAAACCAGTCATGCCTCCCACCCCGAGGTCATCAGGCCTCATCCTAACACTGAGGAGAACCCTCCAAGCATCCATGTTTCAAAGAAATTGCCTTCACCATCCACACAATGGAGGATGGTGACCTGGTCCCACCCGCCGCAAAGACCATTCTCCCTCTGAACCTTCACTTAAGCTTCTAACTAGAATGTTCTAGCCTCCTCCATTCCTTCCAAACACTCTTACACATTCTTCAGTGTAAAGTGAGGGTTAAATCAGGTCAGAGAGAACAAATAGGTCTTACCTCACGTGATAATTCTAAACTAGTGGTAGTGACTGTGGGTGGGCTGTGTTACTACAGGAGACAGGCCAGACATGGAGGGGGAGGGGAGAGAGTGGGAGGGGGAGGGGAGGGAAGGCGGAGGGGAGAA